AGAGAGAGAGAGAGAGAGAGAGAGAGAGAGAGAGAGAGAGAGAGAGAGAGAGAGAAAGGGGGAAAAAGAGGAAAGGATTAAATTAGAACATATATATCTAACGGACTGTGCAAATTGTTCACTGCAATTACGTGATAAGCCTGATTACATAATAAATCGTGATATAAAGTAATTACAATCACAATATTGTGTGTGATTTAGGCGTGCAATATGGCGTCTACGTGCGAAACGTTGGCGAATCGAGCGATATTACTTCTGCGCGCATATTCTCCCGCTTCTCGAGTCTTCGGAGCGCGAACCGCAACGGAGGATATACGAGTATGCGTAAAGAGTATGCGCGGCTCGATTATATTTTTATTCGCGCTCCAATTTATCTAGAGAGAATAATTAAAATATGCCGAAAACAAAGGTGGGCACGGCCGGTTCGAGGGCAAGAGGATTTCCGCGACGGCGCATTGCTAATTTTATTAAAAGTAGTAAAACGCGGGGCACGAAATTATAGCTCACCGAAAACTCGCTCCCTTAATTGAGGAAAAAGTTTGGATCACGCCACAGTAGGTTCCATAAACGGAGCGACGACGCCCATAACCGACTAGCTAGCCAAGCTAGCTAGCCAGCCAGCCAACCAGCCGGTGCGATCGATTCGCTATGCCGTTGAAACTTTCGTCTATCGGCCAAAAGTGGCGGTTTCGTCGTGGGCATGCCTTTGTCTTCTGGCAAAATTCGAAATTAACCGGGCTGAAATGAGATACCGAACTTGAACGCGCGCTTCCACCCATCTCGACATTTACACGACATGCTTGTCGTACCTTGCGTTATTATATTTAGACTTTGACTAGAAAATCGAGTCATTCGCAACGCGACAAATTTACACTGCTAAAAGCACATTAATTTTATCAAAAAATATTTCAAGAACTTAAGAAATCTAATTAAAAGATAAAAAAGATATTAAATTATCATTCCACAGTAACAAAGATATTAAATTACCGTTCCAACACTTTCCATAGTACATATTAGGTTTAGAAACAGATAAAATAGACAAAACTTCTTTTTAATTAAGAAACGTTTGTATCTTTTAATGATATACTTATAATCCAGATCGAGATCATATTTTTCATTACGCAACTTCGATCGATTGAAGCGGTTATAAGTGCAATGAATTGATAATACACGCCAATTTTGTAAAGCGTTAATTGCAGACTGTGTTAATAATAGTGATTAGTCATTGTTCGATAATATTTGTGGGTGCCCCGATTCAAACGATCGAGTATAAACACTCGAAGGCTCCATTTATTTGTGACAATGAATGCTGCATAATTTAGGGCGCAACCCCCACCCTCTCTCCCTAAGTTTGCCAATGTGTCGAAGCGCGTAAACAATTAGAGGAAGTGAGGGAACTCCTACCGATATAATATGATATGATAATATCGTTTAGAACTCTTGAGTGTTCCACGATGAGTATCTTAGGCTTCAGTTTAGTGTTTCGATTTAGCCGGATTTCCGTAAGCAGCTTTGTCATGAAATCCTTTGTTGCCGTGCCACACAAATGTAGTTCCCGTTATAAGCGCGCGCAATGATTAATTTTTCATCGTTTCCATCCTTGGATATATAACACTGCGATACGAAAAGCACGCACGATGAAAAACTATATTTCCCTTTTGCCTCTCTCATTCTTCTCAGAAAAAGAAATTTCTTTTCATCTTTCTTTTCATAGAGACGCAAGTCCCCAACGAAGCTCTTTATATCATTGAGGACACAATACACGCGCACGTCTGTAAAGAAATATAAAGCTGGAGATAATATAACTTCCCTATGTTTATTCGTGATGTCCTATATTCCCAGTATGGCTTTTCATCTGGCCAGTTTTTTGATTAGTAATTCTCGAGAATTCCTAGATTTGAAACGCATGTAGAAAATTGTCAGTACCAACACTCGCGTCGCGATAAACTCGTTGAGATCGCGAGACTCGTGAGCAGCTGAAGCACCGGGAAAATTGTTAGGATAATTGTTACATTTGATTTGTATTTTACTAAAAAGAATCTTACATTTTCGATAAAATTTTATATATTAATTATATATATATTTATAAATATATATATATATATATATATATATATATATATATATAAATATATATATTTATATATATTTATTTATATATATTTATATAAATTTTGCTTAAGAAAATTTTATATCTGAAAAAAAATATTTAGACGGAATATCTTTGCGTTGTTAATATATCTAAGCCGAGTAACACCATTGTCACGGTTACTAATCAGGAAAGCTGCTTTTTGTTTCAGATCTGGCGGCGGACGGCTTGCGGCCACACAACAGACGCAGTTTCTCAGGACGTGTAATTCCGGCGAAATGCAGATAACAGTACCGGAGAAAGATCCGAGCAGGGCCAGAGCTTGAAGATATGTTCAAAGACTCGCTGTACTTCCTCTCTTAACTCTTTGCAACAGAAAACCGGGATGCAGCCGTGTAACTCGAGTTACGACCGTGAGGGCTTAATCCGCACGCTCACACCTCTGTGCGCGTTTGTTTGTTAAACCGAATCTCCGAATTTAACCGCCAAAATTAATGTCTCTCCGTTCGTGGGCGTTTTATAAATCACAATACATCGTGCGCTGAACAATTGAATCAATTGTGTAACGCTCGATTTTTTCTATTACGTTCAATATCGTCTCAAACGATATTCCGCAGGCAAACCGTTCGGGAGTTCTGTTCATGGCGATCACAATACACGAAACGTTAAATGATTGAATCAATTCTGTCACGCTCAATGTTTTTTTATTGCACTCAATAGTTTCTATCATGTTCCATATTTTCTCTAACGGGCTCGCGTGCGCGGCAGGCAAGCTGCTCGAGCTCCTGCAAACGCCAAGGTCGCGCGACCTTCGGTGCGATAACAGCACAACAGTCGTCAATGCGCGAGGTACTCCGGCGTCATAACAGTGTTAGCCGTCACGGAGAGCATAACGTAACGCGTCAGGCGTGTTATTTTCGATCATTCTCGGTTGGTTAAAGTGCAATACTCGGTATATCGCGTGTACTATCGTTGTTCTCGGATCATCGTGAGCACCGAGTGTCGTGATTAAATATCAGAGGTGATTGTCACTTTTTGTTACATTTAAAAAAAAGAAATCTACAATCGTAGCTCGTACTCACGAGACTCTCGTGCCGCAAATATGCTTCGTATCTAAAGTTGTAAAAATATCAATTAAATTCGCTTCAAATTTAATAATTTATTTGAGTAAATAATTTCTAATTTAATTAATTGATGATTAATATAAGCCTATTTAATTAAAAATATTTTAATTAACCACTGATTTCAAGAAATCTAATTAAAAATCATTTAATTAATGATTGATTTGAAACTGCTGAATTAACGATTAAAACGAGCGAAAGTAATTGAAGATTATTCGATTAACGATTGAACATAGTCAATGTAATTAAAGCTTATTTAATTGACAATTGATATAAGCAATATATATATATATATATATATATATATATATATATATATATATATATATATATATATAT